ACCAAAATATGTAATCACAAAGTTTAGTTTAGACTATATTAAAGAAATCGAATAATATTTATTTATTCAAGTTTTTTTTAATCTAATAGAATTTCAATTACATAGGAATCTAGTAGTAGTGGTTAATGATTGATCAGGAATTTGCTGAAAGTGCAATTGGGTCAGTTACAAACTGCCAGATTCTCCCATTACGGAGCTGTAATTCTGATAGAAGGAGTAATCTCTGATTGCATTTCGAGGTATTAACCGAACCATGCAGGACAACATAGTTTGCAATTGATTTTCACGACATTGACCTTTCGGTCCATGTACCACCAACAGTTATGGGATGTTGAGAAATTAATATTACCCATCTCAGATGGAGATAAGCATGAATAAAGTGTCCTAGCATTAAATTGATAATACCCAAAGCTAATTGCATTACAAATTATACAGGAAGGTAGGTATGTTTCATAATAATATTTAAGTTTATCTTGTTTTTATTCTTACCGTTTAAGAATCGCGTGATGTCTTTTTAATGTGGTAATTATCGCTTTTAGTTTATAATAAGGTTATCGCTATAAAGATAGAATGACGAATGACATGCAATATTTAGAGGATTTTATATAGACGAATAATAACAAGATTTTCATTACGTTTCCATTAACATTCTACATAGAATTAGATGATCTCATTAATCTCCGTATAGTCTTGAACAAATCAAGTCTGACGGCAAGCTTAAACTTTCCAAGTTCAAAGGACTCCCAGCTACGTTGTCGTCGTCATAGTCGTCTTATAGCAACCAAGGAGGACTAGGAAGATAAAAAGCGAGAGGGGTGAAGTAATTTTCGCTCATACAACGTGCAGCAATTTAGCGAACGATGTAAGTCGTCGCAAGAATTGCTTTCGGAGGATTCTTACCTCGTCTGGTGCACTCTCGTCGTGAGGTAGATTTCTTGCGAAAAAGATTCGAGACACACACACGTCTCACGCAAACTAGCGGATTTCCTTTTGAACTTTGCCGTCTTTATGAGGATTCTTTCAGATTTATTGTTCTTTCTTTCAGGGAATCCCACATATTTCAGCTATTATGAAGTACTTGAAAGTAAATCTTTTTCGTGTATGGTATCAATCGATTCTTGACGTATTTTTAATGTTAATTAATTCAATCAACTCTGTGAATTTTGATAATTTAACTATCCCAAATCGATTTGGTCATCGAAAATTAATTTGGATTGAAATTGCAATTAAGTTATTGATCTAATTGTATGAAAATTTGATTTATACATTTCGCATAAGGATAATCAAATTTCAATCGAAATTGAAGATCTAATTACAAGGGATAATTGAAAATGATCAAAAAAAGATTAATATTTATTTGGTTATTTCTTTCCATCTCAAATTTAATGTAAATGCAATAAAACATGTGTGTATTTATAGATGGATTCTTTTAATTTTAGCTCTACCGGTTTCGATCAATACATTTAATCATCTTCAGGAGCAACCTAATGTAATATAAATAAAAATCATTTACTAAAATTAACAACATTCACAAATTTCCGTTACTATCGTTACATTATGAACAAAATAAAATGAAACTCACGTCAGTAAATATATTTTCAAAAGACATATTTGTTAGTTAATTAAGCTGTTATCCTCTTACTCTTGATATTTTAACTCTTCTTTTCCTTGTTACCCAGTTATTCAGAAATATCCAATAAGCCTACCATGCAACAATATGCGCCATGCGTTTCTTTACTTTTGTTTTTGAGGTTATGTATTTGTAATGAAGTTAGTTGCTTTTATACATTTTAAATTTAAATTAATTTGTGAACAAAACCATTTAATTAATATTATCGTCATTGTTTAAAAAATTATCTAATTAGTATCATGTTCAGTCACATTGTTGTGTCTTAAATGTTTGTGGTGTAATAAGGTTTGTCAAAGGTACACTGTTGGAAATAATTCACGAGCACACCCTGTATAATCTGAACGCGTGAAGATAAGTCCATAATATTTGCGGAGCACAAAGGTTTACTGTAGACGAGTTTATTCAGGGAGTTTCGAGTTGTTCCGTCGCGGCATTGTTGTCTGAGCCACCCTTCCAAGTGGAACATTCCGTCGCTATGGAAACCGAAGTGGATGGAAAATTCCGGTCGTTTTTAGTGTGGTGTGAGGAACCACATTGTTATCGTACTCTGTGCGCAATGGATGGGCGATCGCGTTACTTAAGCGAGTTTGAGCGAGGAATGTTTGTGCTTATGCACATTGAGGGTGTATCATTCTGTGAAATTGCGCGTTGTCTCGAGCGGTCGTTATCGGCATTGCAACGGGCATGGCGAGAATGGTCTGAGGTAGGACATAGGTAACTTCAGCCGCGGCCGGGACGGCCCTGCGCGTCCCCAGCACACGAGGATCGCGCTCTTGTGCTCAGCGCTTTAGCGTCGTGTGTGTCCTCCTCAAGACAACTTGGAGCTGTTTTGCCACCGGCATAGGAAGGCGCACTCACTACGCGAACTGTCCGCCGTACAGTTCGCGTAGTTTGGTAGATAGTGGACTGCGAGCGCGTCGTGCGATACAGCGGATTCCAGTAACACCCGAGCACCGCAGCATACGTCACGAGTGGGTCGACGCTAGGCATTAGTAGGTTGCCGAGTAGAGGGACATTTTGTTTTCCGACGAATCAAGATTCGAATTGAGCACCGGTGATGCGCGAATTTTAGTTCGTCGGAGCCGTGGTGATCGTCTACTCGAGCAGTGTGTGCAAGAACGCCCTATCCACCGACAACCGAGCATTATGGTATGGGGTGCGATTACATATGGTGGACGTACACGTCTGCTGCGTGTATAGCAGACCATGACGGGTCAACGATACGTAGATGAGGTGCTACGGTCCGTTGTGCTTCCCTACGTTCGGCGGCTCCCAGGTCTGCTATACATGCACGACAACGTACGACAGCACATCGGGCGTGTTGTACAGACCTTTGTGGAAGAGCACCATATACGAATGCTTCCATGGCTAGCTCGGTTTCCGCATCTGAATCCGATCGAACATGTTTGGGACATGACTGGTCGGAGACTTCTACGTTATCCGGCTTCCTTGGCTAACGTTGAGGAGCTATGGAGGTGAGTTGAGGTGGCATGGTTGGCCATCCCTCTCGCTACAATACAGCGACTTATAGACTCCATGCCACGTCGTGTAGCGATGGTACGCGAAGCTCACGGGGGATACTCTCGCTATTGATGTTTCTCCTCCCAGCAGAGTTATGCCGCTCTCCATGTGAGAGTAAGTTACACTACTTTAGTACTACTTCCATAACAAATTTTATTGCGCTAGACACACGCGTTCAGATTATACAGGGTGTGCTCGTGAATTATTTCCAACAGTGTATAATATGTGGAAAATGGAAAGTGGATCCTTTAGGAAAGGTGTAGATTTTAGGGTGACGAAGGGATTTTTGGTTGCCATGGGACCCAAAGTGTTGCGATGTTCCTATTGCAACCTTATAGGACATCCTCGTTCACTTGGGGTTTTTTTTTATTTAAAGGGGTGGGACTGTTAAGTTTCTGTATGGTACTAATTAAATTTCCCTGGTGTTTGTTGCATGTTATTCAAGGGCTAGTTCTGTATGGGTATTTTAATTATGTTATTTTATCTTGTTTGTATGACCGTAATAATATCGTGTGATAGAATGGTGTTTTTTCAAACTATGGAACAGGAAGAANATGGTACTAATTAAATTTCCCTGGTGTTTGTTGCATGTTATTCAAGGGCTAGTTCTGTATGGGTATTTTAATTATGTTATTTTATCTTGTTTGTATGACCGTAATAATATCGTGTGATAGAATGGTGTTTTTTCAAACTATGGAACAGGAGGAAGGAATATGGAATAGTATAGGATATCTCTTCTCTTGTGTGTAGTGTCGTTAAATTGTTACGTGCTATTTTAGTTTTTTTCCTTTCTATCACCTTCTCTATAATTTCTGGTTAATATCCGTTGTTCTTGCCAATTAGTTTTATTACTTCTATTTCTCTCTTCATTTCATTTTCTTTCATTTCTACTTCATACATTCTGTCTACATAAGCTTTAAATGTTGCCAACTTATGTGAGAAGTTGTGGTGTGAGTCTTTCGGTATGATTATGTCTGTTTGTGTTTTCTTTCTATAAATGTCTATGTTTATTCCATCGTTTGTTTTTTCTAATGTTAGATCTAGGAAATTGATCCTGTTATTCTGTTCTNAGTTGTGGTGTGAGTCTTTCGGTATGATTATGTCTGTTTGTGTTTTCTTTCTATAAATGTCTATGTTTATTCCATCGTTTGTTTTTTCTAATGTTAGATCTAGGAAATTGATCCTGTTATTCAGTTCTGTTTCAATTGTAAAAGAAATGGTTTCCTGCAAGGTGTTGATGTATTCATGTAGTGCCTTGACATTGTTTTCTTCTGTTGTATTAAGAGTACTGTTTTTATGTGGATTTCTGTCATTCATTATCCATTCCATTTCCATTTTATCCAGAAAGATGTTAGCCAACATTCCGCTTAGTGGTGATCCCATAAGGAGCCCTTGTTAGTAAGTATAGAAACGGTTATTAAAACTACAGAAGTTTTGTTTTAAGCATATATCAAATAATTTGTATAGATTATTACTATCTGTTTCGTTGCTAACTTTTTCTTTGAGTATATGTTTAATAATTTTGAGTGTATCTATGGTTGGGACATTCGTGTATAAGTTTGTAATGTCAAATGACAGCATAGTGTATTCCTTGGGCAATTTTATTTTCTTTAGTGCAGCTATAAATATTCCTTACGATTTTTAATTGTGTATTTAGTCTTCAAATCCGTTACATCTTCAAATATGTTGTTTATAAATTTTGAAATCTTGTATGTGCTTGAATTATTGCATTTACAAAAAAAGATTGTTGTTAGCAAAAGTTGTTTTTGCGATTGCGATTCGTATTAATTGCTCAGAAGTACATATTTATCTCAATTTATATATTTCGCAATAAATACATAGATAACACTGTATGAAATAAAACTATATCATAGTTATTAGCAGAACGTCGTTGCATCATTACATTGGGGAATTAAGACAACAAAATGGACATTGAAAAAATTTTAAAAGAAAAATGCGATAATTTGTTACACGCGCCGTTAAAGAACTTTGAAGGGTGTATGATGCCATCGACTTTTAGTCAATTTTGTGATAGAATTAAAAATATGGAAGTCAGAAATGACGATATTTGGGTGAGCAGTTTTCCTAAATCAGGTATTTATTTAAAATTTTGCTTAAATTAATGAATGAGAATCGTTTAAATTAAAGGTACAACTTGGAGCCAAGAAATGATTTGGTTGATAGGAAACGATTTAGATTATAAAGGAGCTCAAGTTAACCAAAACGAACGATATCCTTTCATAGAGTATATTTCTTAAAATATTCAGTTATTTTTATCGTTTTAATTTTATTTTAACTACTTTAGAATCAGCTCTGTTTTGGATTTTAAATTGTTCAAAGAACAGCGCCCAGATTTTGCTTGTGTCGATTTTTTATTGGACCCAATAACACACGTGGATAATTTACCGAGCCCAAGATACATAAAAACTCATTTACCATGGTGTTTATTACCTTTGCAAATTCAAACTGGAGCGAAGAAACCTAAAGTAAAAAGAAATAATTTAAAATAATTAACAAAAAGATTATGTTTATAAATTTGCAGATTATCCATATAATTAGGAACCCAAAAGACGTTGTTGTTTCTTTTTTCAATCACGCACAACTCTTACACGGATACACAGGAAACTTTGATGAATATTTTCATTTATTTATAAACGATATGGTCGATTATGCGCCATATTTCCAAAACATCCTATCGTTTTGGAATCATCGCCACTTAGATAACTTACTCATTTTAAAATACGAAGATCTACAAAAAGATTTGCGCGCAGCTGTAAATACGGTTGCTAAATTCCTTGGAAAAACCGTCCCTGAGAATGAAATGCCCAAACTTTTAAAACATCTCAGTTTCGAGGAGATGAAAAAGAATCCGGCCGTTAATTTTGAAATGTTGGTTAAATTTATAAGAGAAACGAAAGCGTTTAACGTTCCCGATAAGAAGTTTATGCGCTGTGGAAAATCGGGTAATTACAAAGAAAATATGTCTAAGGAAAAAATTGCTATAATGGATGAGTGGATTGCGAAAAATCTTAAAGGAACCGGATTAAATTTGGAATAAATAATGATTATTACGTTATTGCATCGAATTACATCTAATGTAAACAAACCTTGTTTATTAATAAAAATATATGTTATGTTCTACAAATATTTGAAATAATATTTTGTTGCACTATCTTGCACTCATTAATTGCTTATAAAAGTTTATCGTAATTTAGAATTTATTTCGTAATACATACTTCAAGATAACGATTTATGGAATAAAAACACTTTATTACAAGGTCGTTGTTGTAATAGTTAAAGTCGGGAAGTGAAGCAACAAAATGATTTTAAGAGAAAATATAAAATATAATTTTGATAACACTAGTCTACAAAAAAAAATCATAAAATGTACAGGGTGGGCAAATTTGGGTGTTATTATAACCTATCTCAGAAACTATAAAAGATACGAAAAAAGTAGGTGCCATGTCCCGATTTCTTTTTTCGAGACTAACCCAATACCGCAAACACCAAACCTCTATCTTCTTTTGTTTTTAAGTTATAGCCAAAAAGTCAAATTTTCGTGATTTCAAAAAATGCTCATATTTCGTTTATTTTTGAAATTAGAGAAATGAGGTTGATACGTTCTTAAGACACTTTTTTAAGTAGAATATACTGCCGTTGAAAAATTTTAAAAATATTTGATGATTTTTGAGATACAACACAAAGTTGTATTTTTTTAAATACAAACTATACTTGATTATGATGTTAATGAAAAGAGCATATTTTTAGCTTTCCAATGATGTATCGCATGTATGGTGCATTTGCGGAAAATAAGCGTTAATTTTCAATTCCAAAATAGTAAGCGCTAAAGTTCAAAATTTTGATTATAGTAGGCGGGTTCGGACAGTAATTACTACCTAATTGCTTTATGGTTTTGCACGAATATGACAGAATAAAG